AGGAAGCCAAACATAAGATAATTAATTAATTAATTAATTTTATATATTTATAAAACTTGTATGTCATCCATTACTTGCATCTCTGGATGGCTTACAACATAGCGGACAGCTTACAACATAGAATGAGGATATGCACAGAAAGAACAGAAGAAGAAAAAGTGATTTCCCTCAGAGCATCTCCTGCTGAGTCCCAATTACTCTCATTACCTGGTAAAATTCATATTCAGATGAAAGTAAAAACAGATATTAACAATGAATATCCCAGCAACTCATGTGGAATGAGATCTTCTCAGTGTTTTGCACACAGTAATGGTGTTCTCTGAATAGTGAGTATGCAAAGCACACTGGAGGAGGGAAAGGGAGAAAAAGAAGAGGAAGAGCCAATCAGAAAGGGCAGAATCTCTCGAGGAGGCCACAGTCTTGGACTCAGAAAATGCTCAGCAGGGCTGTCATGGACAGAAAAGTCTGGAGGGCTCTCCTTCATAGGATTGCCACAACTGGGAGGCAACCGGATGGCACATAACAGCAATGAGCAAGATTGTTCGCAAAAGTACACGTCAAAGCATGCCAATGGGACAGAATTTCTCAGGGTTTTGTCCCAGTTTGCATGCACGTATGTGCCTGCCAGTTTTACTTTAAAATGGTCTTTGCACCTGCATATTTTCCCAGTTGCAATACTGACATGTTTCTCATTCCTGTCCATTTAAGAAATACCGTTGCACTCATTTAGATTTTTTGAAGGTTGCAAATGACCCCATGTTGATTATTTTTATGTCTGTAATACAGATGCCTTCCTGAGCTCATTCACATATTTCAGAAAAATGTAGAAAGGAAACGGAGCCTTAATGTTCTCAAGCTAATTATTCTCAAGACTGCAATTCTTTTTAATTCATGGATCAGACACGACCACTTTCTGTATGTACTGAGAGCTGCCATCCTGGTTCAAGCAAGAAGGTGAAGGAGGGGGAGCCATTCTGCTGCTATACCTGCATCCCATGTCCAGAGGGAAGGATTTCACAACAAGAAGGTAAGAGACACGTTGCTCAGACAGAGAAAGCAGAATGGATGCAATGCACAGGGACTTGTGACTAGGGTCTGGGATGAAGTTGCTGAAGCAGGAAGCACTGTTTCTTTGTGTATGGTGATGTTTCCAGTAAGGTGTGTGTGTGGGGGGAGGGGGTCATTTGCCTTGTATTTGCAATTACTCTAGAGCATTTAAAGTGCTATATTCTAGGTAGCCATAAGAAGAGCAGAAACCTAACCTGGTGTATGAATTGGGAAATGGCTTTAGAAGCTTAGCATTAGCACTTCCTTTTCAATGGGATTCTAAAATTTGATTGATTGCTTCATGTAAACACTATGCAAAAGCCTGACCTCCTATTTCTCAGAATAATTCTTCCGCAACAAAAGAGGTTTCTTATTAGCACCACACATTCTATTCTCATGCCTTCATTCCTGGACTCTGACAATTCCTCCTGAATTGGATTGGGTGTCCTTTCCAGTTGACCTTCTCATTGCAATGTCAATTTGTGGAATTCAAGTGGATGGTGTTACTAATGGGTGACAATATCCTTCCTGAGACACTTTACTCCCAAGCTATTTGTCCTCGGTAACAGTCAATACATTCAAATTTAAACCATCTCCAGAGGAGGAGTTAACATGTGATGCTTTCTACTGAGATTAATTCAAACCAATGGAAGATGTGTCATCCACAAGTGCTCCTTGGACTTCTCACAGCTAAGAGAAGCTCAGGAATGTGCAGCACACCTACCTAAACTTTCATCTGAAAGGAAGGTGTACATCCTGTAGCTGAAATTAATGTCAAATCCACTTATTAGCACCACACATTCTATTTTTTTTCAGAAATGGAAGATTGCAAGAAATGCTTAGATGAAAGCTATCCAAGCAACACCCGGGATTTCTGTGTTCTGAAGGATGTTAGCTTCTTGTCTCACAAAGAAACTTTGGGAATGAGTTTAACCTGTTTAGCACTTTCATTATCCATCCTCACTTCACTGGTGCTTACAGTTTTCATGAAGCACCACAACACTCCCATCATCAAGGCCAACAACCGGGAACTCACCTACACCCTCCTCATTGCCCTCCTGCTGTGCTTCCTATGTGCATTGCTGTTCATTGGTCATCCTGCAAAGGTGACTGGTGTCCTTTGCCAAACTGCCTTTGGCATCATCTTCTCAGTGGCTATTTCCCTTGTGCTGGCAAAGAACATCACCGTGGTGCTGGCTTTCATGGCCAACAAGCCTGGATCCCGGATGAGGAGGTGGATTCAGAAGAGACTAGCCAACTCCACTGTTCTTTCCTGCTCCCTTGTGCAAGTGTCCATTTGCATGCTGTGGCTGTCAAGCTCTCCTCCCTACCCTGATGTGGATATGAACTCAGTGGGGGAACAAATCGTCCTGGAGTACAACGAAGGGTCTGTGGTGATGTTTCACTGTGTCTTGGGCTACATGGGCTTCCTTTCCTTGCTGTGTTTCATTGTGGCCTTCCATGCCAGGCAGCTGCTGGACAGTTTCAATGAAGCCAAGTTCATCACTTTCAGCATGATGGTGTTCTGTGGTGTGTGGCTGTCCTTTGTTCCAGGCTACCTGAGCTCCAAGGGGAAATACATTGTTGCTATGGAGATCTTTCCTATCCTAGGCTCCAGCTCTGGGCTGCTGGCTTGCATCTTTTCTCCCAAATGTTACATCATTTTGTTAAGACCTGAGCTGAACAACAGGGAGCAACTAATAAGAAGAACAAAATGAAGAATATCACTGCCTAGGCCCTTTGCTATATCCCGAGCTATTTGTGCAGTGTTGCTGAGGAACACCTTTCTGTCTTTTTCCTTTGGATTTTTGTGGTTCAGTATGAATTTGGGGGATGGTGCTTTTTGTCTTACCTAATGTATATATTGGAGCTATGGGGCCTTTTGTTTTGTGTTGAGTTCTGTTTCAGATTTGGTTCATTTTATTTCCAGTTTCCCTCTTGTAATTAATATGGGATGTCTATGCCTCCCTCCTCATACTCATCAGAAAACACCCATGGGAAGGATTTAAGTTCCAGGAATTTTCTCAATCAAAATGTTAATACACTGTATTCTTTAATATTTTCCATTGCATTGAATTAAGCTGGCTGATCTGTGATAGTCTTCTGTATATGAAGGCATCAAATTGTCATTGTGTTGTCATTATTCTATTGCCAACTATTCTGCACCAGAATACCAGACTAGTAGGTTATACAATACTCTGTACATAATTTGGAAGTTGTTAGCTGCTTTCACTTCTTCTCAGTCAAGCTAGTACATGAGCTTAGTCATCATCTGAGTTAGCTTGTCAGCAGTGTGCTTACAGTCCATTGCATCTGCAGGATGCCAGCATTGGATTGCTGTGGAATTCTCAAAGCCCAACCATCCCCTGCCATCTAACTGGGAAGCAGAAACAAGGTTTCCTCAAAGAATCTCAAGGAATGCCCAGTTTTTATTTACTAACCAGGCATTTGCAGTGAAGAACTATGCTTATTTCTGATGCTTGTTGAAATCCTGTGGTCTTTCAACTAGCTTAAGTAAGGAGGAAGGAAGTAACAAACAAACCCCAATGCACAGAGTTTGAAGTGAAAGATAAGAAGGACTGAGAAGTGTCCAGAAAAGAATGTGATCCTTGAGTACTGTGTGGAAAAATGTCCAAATAAATCAAAGAAGAAGTAGTAGTAGTGCCTGGTGTGTTTTGTTTAAAGATCTTTGAAATGTTGGAGTCCATTTTGAGAAGTGCAAAGAAGCTGCTAGAAGTCCTCTTTACCCAACACTACAGGAACTGGATAGCCAATGGCTAAATATGTAAGGGTGTTCTGTTCAGCAGCTGCTCCCTTGATGCAAATTATCCCCTTGTTACAATGTACCCCCTTCATTCCTTCAACAATTCACAATCTAGGCAAGAATTATCAAGTTAAACAGCCTCACATGGCTGGTGCACTACAGCCAATCACTGGACAGTGTTTTGCAGCATTGTAGTGAACTCCTCCCTGCTGCTGGACCATGGCAATTGAACTCTATATGAATGATTTCCCAACAGCATACATTAACTTTTTTAAACAAACATGAAAATCAATTTAAGTTTCAGGAATGTACTCAATTGAAATGTAAATGCAGTACATTCTGTAATATTTTCCATTGTATTGTTCTCAGCTGACCAATCTGTGTTACTGTTCTGTTTATGAAGGCATCAAACTGTCATTGCGTTGTTATTATTGTATTGTCAACTACTCTGCACCTGCCAACCTGACTAGGATGTTATAAATTACTCTGTACCTTATTTGGAAGCTTGTAGCTAGTTTGTTCTTTACCCAAGAGTCATAGTGTAAGTTTGGATTGTGTTTGAATACAAAAACAAATTAAAGTGATAAAAATGGTTGAAATGAGCACAAGTGGATAACTACACTGAAAATTGTGCTCTGCAATTGGATTAATGCGGGAATATGAAGAAACAGAGAGAGAGAGAGAGAGAGAGAGAGAGAGAGAGAGAGAGAGAGAGAAGTTCTGTGTTTGTGTGGTCTCTCAAAGGGAACAATGGAGGGAGGTGGCAATTTTGTGAAGTGACTTTTCAAACACGTTTTTCTTCAACAATTCCAGAGGGAATCTTCAACTTGTTTTTATTGACTAACAAGACATGAAATGATGTTAATTATGAAGATAATAATTTCCACATTTGTTGTGTTTTGGCTTCAGTCACAAAGACTGACAATTCTCTTTCCCAAAGCCCTGTGGAATTTTGGTGGTAACATAAAGTTACAGGAGCAAAACACCTGGAGGATATTTACATTGAGGTCCAGCAGGAGTTAGAGCTGGGGGCATCATCAGCAAAGATATCGCATGAATAAAGAAATCTCATGAATCAGACCCATCAGGTAATAATACTGTAAGCATGAGGTAGTTTTAATCATGGTTGCTCTAACAGTATGATGCAAGTCCCCAAGATCTGTATCTTGAACTGCTTGTCCTTGTCGTAATGCTCCTATATTCTATGGTGTTGCTGCTGGGAGTGTTTCCTCAGCTGGTCTGGAAGGCTTCCATTGGGCAGGCGAGATGCAGGCTGTCTCATCCGCACCATCCTCTTCACATGTATTATCAGCCAGGAGACCTCATCATTGGCACCATTGCATCTCATGGTGGCTTCCTCTCCAGCCCAGCAACCTTCTTCAAAGTTCCTCCTCCTGCATCAGTTGACGAGTTTGTGTAAGGTTTATTTTGATCAGTTTTTCATTCCATGTGGTGTGGGTATTATTATTTCTATGACCAGTTTGAAAGCTGCAAATCCAAACCATGGTTTACTTGCATTTAAAAAATTAACAAATGTAAAGAATGTGGGAAAAGAAAGGCATCTTTTCCCCCTCAGGATACAAATCCCAGAAATAGTTTATTTTCAGAATCCAAATGATATTTAATTTCTTTGTTACTTTATTAGCCCTCCCACCTTGCATTTGCTCGGCCGTTAATTGTATTACTCAAATTCTGTGTTGTTTGTGGGAAGTTTTCTGTATATCTGTGTCTCCTTCTGGTGCACCAGCACTGCAGTGCTAGGTTGAGTAGCATGTCAAATGACTGTCACCACAGCTTATTTTCGCAATTCAGAGATACCACATTTGCTTTCCCACCTCCCCAACTACCCCCTTGACTTCCCTAATGACTTGCACTACTAAGTTGCATTCCACTCCCCACGTATGAAAAAGTAATCTTTGAATTACCTGTTCATTCCTTTCTTGTTATTCTGTCGTTCTCTCACAAAAATAAATTGTGAGCTGAAATGAAGAAGGCAATATAGTAATCCACACTATCTTCTATGGAGCTAACTTGCAGGCTCTTATCTATTATGACATTTCTTTGTTCATCAATTTTTATACTGAATATGTAAAGCGGATCAATTGCAGGAAGCAAACTTTGAGTGACTTTTGTGAACAACTAAAGCACATTCTTTAGCAGGGATCAGATGTTATTCTCAAAAAGGATGTGGCCATCCTGGTATGAAAAGTTTCCAGTGGTGAAGTTTCAAAAGCTGTTCCTATTTGCCAGTTCTCATATATGCCATCTCAACGTGTGCATTCAGTTAGCTGAGGCACCTCAATGTTAATTGATCAATTCTCTCGAACAATAGCTTTCAGGGGTTACTGTAAAAAGTAAAACAATACAATTTGTAAATCCAGTTTAAGCATAGACTCTAAATTGGCAAAAGATCAGCAACTTAAAACATTTCTTCTCGTAAATTGAAAGCAGCAACAGGGAACAACAATAGGCAAAGGATCTTAAGAGTGGCTTGTGGAAAACTTTATAACAGTATTGAAATGTCAATCCTAATGCACGTACTAATAATTGTACAATTCACAGGAAGGTTTATCCTTCAAATGAAATATTCTTGTCTTCAAAATGCAACCCTCTTTCTAGTGCTGTGTCTAAGGCTTACCAGCAAATCATGGCTCTGGCATTCGCAGTGAAGGAAATCAATGCAAACCCTCAGCTCTTGTCCAACTTCACCTTGGGCTTCCACATCTATGACAGCTACGACAATGCTAGGAGGACCTATCAGGCCACAATGCTATTTATATCGGCACTGCAGAGATTGATCCCCAACTACATATGTAACGTCCAGCACAACCTAGTAGCAATCATTGGGGGACCAGATTCTGAAATCTCTCTTCACGCAGCAACTCTTCTGGATGTCTATAAGATTCCACAGGTAGAACTCTCTCTCCTTCAGTTTGGGTGTGAAGCATTGGACAAAAACCCCAGTTCAATTTCTTGATCATTGGCTGGTTTCTAAAAAGAACATGGGAAGGACAGTGGGAAAGCTTGGGGTGATGCTTTCAAGGCAAGCTGTTGAATGTAGTGGTCAGTTTCCAGGTAATATAAAATATCTCATATTCACAGAAAACTTTCCTGAAATGGTGATTTCTTAACTTTTATTTCTTTATTTATGCAATTTAATTTCCCCCCTTGATTCCAGTTTTTGCATTGTAATTAAAAAAGGAGTACTGCAAGTATACTCAGATGGAGTTTAGAAACACAATACACTAAACAAATTATGAATAAAATGGTACATTCATAATTCAAAATTAATGTGAGATCCTGATTTTATTTATGCAGAAAGCAGTGGTGAGACATATGTTTCAGCATCTCTGCTGTATCAGGTACACATTTGCATTGACCTCTTATGCAATATTCTTCTTCCTAATCTGTTTGACTTCAGCCTGTGTTCTTCCAAAGTGCTCACTGTTTCTAGTACAACAGCAAGCTAATGGATGAAAACAAATGGCTCCATTTCTTCAAGAAGCAGGGGAACCCAAATGAGTATATGCAAAGGCTCTCAAACTTTGCAACCTGTGGCAATAGTTATTTTCAGTAAAATATGAATGTATCCATACCTTTCACTTAGTATGCTCCCTCAGATAGTTCACCACCTCCTCTGTTCTCTTTTCTAAATGTTCCAAACATTTGCCAAAGCATTCCTGGACCACTTATGCCCATCTGCCACTATGCCACAGTTGGTTGGGGTTCTGCAGAAATGAGAAAACATGGCAAGGGCACATCCTGTCTAACGAGACAGTTCACCAAGTGTCAGCAATCAAGGGCTGCCTGCTGCAAGGCTGAAATGTTTTAAGTAAGGTTGCAAACAAGTTTGAGGCTCCAGGGCAGAACTTGTTTCAAGTGTGTTTGAGACAATGCGACTTCACCTTCTATCAATGGAACCAACAAGAGGTTCCACTGCTCCTTATTGCATGGAATGCAGCTCAGACTCCTTTGTGGAAGACTACTCCACAAGTGATGTGACAAATTTCACCCTGCAGCGAATAATCAAACTGATTTTACAATTATTAAAAAAGAAGAAAAGAAAAATTTTGGGCAAACCATGCTTGTCTTCCAGGGTGCCATGCATGATGAAAGGGAAAGACATGCGTGGGATTTTCAAAAAGCTGCAACAGCAGGGTTCTTAACCTTTCACCTCAGTTAAGTAGAGAGAAGCTAGAAGGTACAGATTCCCTGATGGCAACTCATCTATGTTATGCCAGTTCCTGAAGAAAGGTGAGAGTTAAGGAGATGTTCCCCTGCAGTTTTTCATTTGATATGAATAAACTTTGTGGTCCTTTACCAGACAGTATGGCAGACGGGTACCATTTGAACAATTGCAAAAAGACTTACATGGTAGTAGTAATCACATTTGACATACTGGGTGTGAAATGATCTGAAAGTGTGCATTTCTATGTACTCAATGTTGTCTTTCCCAATCCATCTCTCTTCAGCTGACCTACGGCCCTGCTCCAATGATGAATGATAAAACACCAGGCCTTCCCTTCTACCAGGTGTTTCCCAAGGAAGTCCTGCAGAATGCAGGCATTCTCTCCTTGCTTCTGCATTTTAAGTGGACTTGGATTGGACTCCTGGTCATGGAGATTGACCGAGCAGAAAGATTTGTGCAAACTGTTTCTCCACTGTTTTCCGAGAACGGTATCTGCTTTGCATTTATTGCAAGAATACCAAAATTCAGTTTTTATTATAAAATTCTTGAAATGCTACAAATGGGTATACAAATATATGAGGAAGTCATGGGTAGCACAGCTAAAGTTCTGGTAGTGTACGGAAACTCTTATTCCATAGTGTTTCTGAGGTGGTTTACATATATCTCAGGACAAGAGGGAGAGGTAAATAAACCAAAAGGAAAGGTCTTGATAATGACAGCCCAGATGGAGCTTGCTTCCTTTTGGTACCAAAGAAACTGGGATGCAGAAATGTTCAATAGTGCCATTGCTTTCACATTTCACTCCCACAACCCAGCAGGATTCAAAGACTTCCTTGCGCAGAGAAATCCCCTCAGCACCAAAGGGGATGGTTTTATCAAGGACTTCTGGCAAAATGCCTTTGGCTGTATATTCCCAAATTCAAGCTTTGCCAGGCAGAGGGATGTGGACACTTGCACAGGCGAGGAGTATCTGGGCAGCCTCCCAGCACCATTTTTCGAAATGAGCATGACTGGGTACAGCTACAGCATCTACAATGCAGTCTATGCAGTGGCCCACGCTCTTCACACCCTGCGCTCAACTAGATTAAAATACAAAGCAAAGGTGAATGGATGGAGATGGAAGCTTCAGAAACATGCTTTGTGGCAGGAGGTAATTGGCTAATTGTTTCTTCCCATTTCCCATCTTCCATATTTGCTCATGTGCAGGCATCAAAGAAGTTCCCATATTCCAAGCACCCCTCTTGCTGTCCTCATTTCCCCATTAGTTAATTCTTCTTCTGAGAGCAATCTTTCACTAAAATATTCCCCGTCAAAAACTTCATTCACCTACTGCCTGTAGCCCTTGTGCCTGAAAGTCCAACAACCTCTTTTCCTCTTCACTCTAGCTTCATCGTTTCCTGAAAGCCGTCTCATTTAACAACAGTGCTGGGGATGAGATTTCCTTTGACCAGGATGGCGAGTTAGTGTCTGGATTAGATGTGATCAACTGGATTGTTTCCTCAAATCAATCATTTCATCGTATCCCTGTTGGAAGGATGGATCCTCATATACCAACAGGCCAAATGTTTAGCATTAACGAAGATGCAATAACATGGCACAGGTGGCTTAATCAGGTAATATTTCCTTTGCAGAGGTTTTGAGGGGTGTCCCAATCTCCATGCAGCTATCTAAAATCAATTCATTGGATACTTGAGAAGAGCCTTATCTTACAAAATTCACATTCCATGAGCTGATGTAACAAGTGAGACATCACCTTATGTGTCACATTAAAGTGCTTCACAAATTAAACAAAAAAATTAAGTGTAAGAATCAATTATTTTAAGTTATTCGGTATTGAGCATGCAGGAAAAAAATCTGTCTGTAATGCAGCTTTTCTTGAGTCACCAGGACTCTTAAAAAAATGTACGTAAAAGTAGAAAAAGACATTCAAAACAGTAGCATTCCAGAAACTCCTCGAGGAATGAGAAAGCATCAGTCTGTTTCTTAAGATAATATTGTCCTTATTTTCACACATATGTGACAGAAAAATCAGCAACAGAGAGCCAGCAAAACCTTTAAAGGGTTTTAACAGAGGGCTCTTCTTTACAACTGTGAAAAGCGTTTTCTTCCCAAATATGTCCATCATAGTCACAAACAGTTATGGGTATATTAGACTGAAGAAGTTGGTGCAATCATTCTATTTATGAAATATCCCCTCAGTCCTTGAGGTTTCATCCTCAAGCTCCACCAGACCAAAATTTCCCCAGCAATTAAGATGATGTACCATGGCATGGATGGCTTAATCAAGTACAGGGTATTGGAAACAATTTCTGAAGAAAATTAGTCTGAAAGGTGTCTGATTCTGTATGCAACTACCTACAATAATTTGCAGAATTCAGAATGATGTTTTATTAGCAAAAATGCAACATATGAGTTTATGGAACAAGTTGCTTCCAGGTGTTTCAGCCCGATATGCCATGTTTTTAAGTTCATTATTTGACAAATCGTAGGAGAAATTAATAATCAAACATTGTTATTTGATTATAAGTCTTGAAATATGCTTAGAAACTCCAAACTTTCAACAGTGAAGTACTACCAATAAAACTGTTCTCCAGGGGCAAGTAGGTCCATCATGAAACAGGGCATCTCCTCATTGTTTTGCAAACATTAATGCTGCTTTCCGCATGTTGAGAAGGGAAAACTCACTGGAGGATACAAAGGGAGAAAAAGAAGAGGAAGCCCCCATCAGAAAGGGCAGAATCTCTCAAGGTGGCCACATCCTTGGAATCAGAAACAGCAGAGCAGGGCTGCCTGGACAGAAAATTTCTGAGGGCTCCCCTTCAAAGGGTGGCCACAACTCAGAGACAACTGGACAACACAGCTGCAATGAGCAAGGTTCTTCTCATATGTCAAAGCATGTCAATGGGATCGTATTTCAAAGGCTTTTGACCCAGTTTGTGTGTGCCTGTGTGTAGGCCCTATTTACTTTATTTTTGCAGTTGTAATACTGACTCATATTTCTCATACCTGTCCATTCCAGAAATGTCAGTGCAAACACTCAGATTTTTTGAAGGTTGTAAATTACCCAATTTCCACTTTACAAATTTTTAAAAAGTATTTTTTAAGACTGCAACAAAGATACCTTCCTGAGCCAATTCACATATTTCAGAAAAATGTAAAGAGAGCAGAGCCTTAATGTTCTCAAGATAATTACTCTCAAGCCTGCACTTGTTTTTCATCTTTGGACTAGACACGACCAGTTTCTGTATGTACTGAGAGCTGCCATCCTGGTTCTAGCAAGAAGGTGAAGGAAGGGGAGCCGTTCTGCTGCTATACCTGCATTCCATGTCCGGATGGGAGGATTTCACAACAAGAAGGTAAGAGGCACATTGCTCAGATTGAGAAAACGGGATGAATGCAAAAAACAGAGACATGTGACTACAGTCTGAGATGAGGTTGCTGAAGAAGAAATCAGTTTCTATGTGTGTGTGTGTGTCCATGTTTCAAGTTGTGTGTGTAAGCATATTTGTGTGTGTTGGGGTGTGACCATTTGTATGGTTGAAGTTGCATTCATCCAAGAATATTTGAAATGCTACAATCCTGGAAATGATGAACAGCTACCCAAATTGGTGTCTGAATTGAGAAATGGCTTTAGAAAATGATCATTAGAAACTCCTCTTCAATGGGATTCTAAAATGTGGTTTACTGCTTCAAGTTAACAAAATGCAGATGGATGACCTCCTACTTCTCAGAAAAAAAAAATCTTTATTTAGATTTATAGGACATCCATCACTGTCTTCTCTGGACAGCTTACAGAATATTATGAAACCTCTGCAAAATAAATTTCTGTTTTCATGCCTTCATTCTTGGACTCCTTCAATTCCTCTTGAATTGGATTGGGTGTGCTTTCCAGATGATGTTCTTAATGCAAGGTCACCATGGTGAATTTAAGTGAATTCATGGTGATTTCAAGTGAAATTATAGCAACGTGAAAATTTCCTGCCTGCTTAATGTTACTACCAAACTTTTTGTGCTCCCTCACAATCAATGCTTCCAAAATTACAACAGCACCACAGGAGGAATTATCCTGTGGTGCTTTCTCCTGCGATTTCTCCTTGGCCTTCTAACAACTATGAGAAGTCCAAGTATGTGCAGTACAGTCACAGAAACTTCTATTTGAAAGGAAGGTGTACAGCCTGTCGCTGAAATTAATGGCAAATCCACTTACTAACACCACACACTGTATTTTTTTCCAGACATGGAAGATTGCAAGAAATGCTCAGATGAAAGCTATCCAAGCAACACCCGGGATTTCTGTATTCCAAAGGATGTAAGCTTCCTCTCTCATGAAGAACCTTTGGGGATAAGTTTAACCTGTACAGCCCTTTCCTTTTCCACCATCACTTCACTGGTGCTTGGAGTATTCATGAAGAACCATGACACTCCCATCGTCAAGGCCAACAATCGGGACCTCACTTACACCCTCCTCATTTCCCTCCTGCTCTGCTTCCTTTGTGCATTGCTTTTCATTGGTCGCCCTACAAAGGTGACGTGTGTCCTTCGGCAAACTGCTTTCGGCATCATCTTCTCAGTGGCTGTTTCCTGTGTGCTGGCAAAGACCATCACCGTGGTGCTGGCTTTCATGGCCACAAAGCCCGGATCCCAGATGAGGAGGTGGGTTGGGAGGAGACTAGCCAACTTCATCATTCTTTCCTGTTCCCTCGTGCAAGTGGCCATCTGCACGCTCTGGCTGTCAAGCTATCCTCCCTACCCTGACGTTGACATGAACTCAGTGGGGGGACAAATTGTCCTGGAGTGCAATGAAGGGTCTGTGGTGATGTTTTACTCTGTCTTGGGCTACATGGGCTTGCTTTCCTTGCTGTGTTTTGCTGTGGCCTTCCATGCCAGGAAGCTGCCGGACAGTTTCAATGAGGCCAAGTTCATCACATTCAGCATGGTGGTCTTCTGTGGCATGTGGCTGTCCTTTGTTCCAGGCTACCTGAGCTCCAAGGGGAAATACATCATTGCTGTAGAGATCTTCTCTATCCTAGGCTCCAGCTCTGGGCTGCTGGCTTGCATCTTTTCTCCCAAATGTTACATCATTTTGTTAAGACCTGAGCTGAACAACAGGGAGCAACTAATAAGAAGAACAAAATGAAGAACATCACTGCCTAGGCCCTTTGCTATATCCCGAGCTATTTGTGCAATGTTGATGAGGACCACCTTTTCGTCTTTTTCATTTAAGTTCTTATGATTAATTCTGAATTTGGAGGGATGATGCTTTTGATCTTACCTAATCCATGTGTCAGAGCTATGGGGAGTATGTTTTGTTTCATGTTGTGTTTAGGTTTTGGTTTCCTTTATTTCCTTTGTATCTATTCTGATTACTATGGAGTGTCTATGCCTCCCTCCACATCCTCATCTGTAAACACCCATAGGAAGAACTCTACTTCAATACCTTCCAGAGGGAGGGTAATGTGGGATGCAAGGAAAATCAAGGTTACTAGCAATATTTAGCTTTTCTGTTCAGTTAATCTCTGTCGAGCATAGGTGATGTTCAACCATTTCTAAAGTGGAACCTAGTATAATACCAAGAAAAAAATGAAAAGAACCCCTTCCATAATACAGAATTTGAAAGTAGTTCAAAAGTTTGAAAACAGTCTTAAAATGGTCTCAAAGTAGCTATATTAGTATTTAATGCAGAAAAAAGAAGAACCATTTTAAAACAGCAGAAATATCAGTCAAGCCAGTACATGAGCTTAGTCATCACCACAATCAGTTGGACATGAATATGGTTTCAATCCATTGCATCTCCAGGGTGCCAGCATGAGATTATTGTGGAGTTCTTGAAACCCAATCATCCACTGCCAGCTAAAAGGAATGCAGAAACAAGGAAAGTTTCCACAAAGAATCTCTCAAGGAATGCCAAATGTTGACTTACAAACTAGGTATTTGCAGTGATGAACTAAACTTACTTCTGATGCTTGTCCAATTCCTGTGGTCTTTCCAATAGTGGAAGGTAGAAAGGAAGGAAGTAACCCCAAAGCATGGAGTCTGGAGACTCAGATAACTGCATTGGAAGAACTGGCAAATGTCCAGTAAGAATGTCTTCCACATGTACCTAGATGTCAATCAAGATGTTTTGCCAGTGAAGGAGAAAATAAGGGGATTGTGATGCATGCTTGTGAAGGTAAGACTTGCACACATGCTCTGACTCACAGTTGGAATGGAACATCCCTTGAAAAGTTTCCTCATGTTTTATACTAGACTCACAATCTTAGAGGCAGTGTCTTTCATCTCTCACTGAAATTCAGAAGTATTTTCATCCAGGAGATAACATCATTGGTTCTGCTCTCTCTCAGGCTGGTTCATTCATCTTTGTGGAAGAAGATGTCAGTATTTGCAAAAATTGAGTGAAGACTTTTCATTGTTTGCTTTCTTTGCTGGTGGAATAATTTCACTTAAAGCTGCAGTTTCAAAACAATAGCTCGATGGCTCAGAAAACAGTCCTATGGGTGTATGCATCTAGATGGCCATTGGGAACTTAGAGTCCCAACTGTTGTCTCGGAGACATGATCCAAAATCAGACCAGTAACTCTGATCCTTCAACAGTCCAGTCATCATGCTTCTCTCTGTACTAGCTGCAGCTCTGAGATTGGGGGCTGACCTTGGAGCAAGAAGTATGTGGGTGTCCTGGGGAAGTGGAAAGGGAAGGAGTGAGGTTCCACCTTGATCCAATGAATGGTGGCTGTTCAGCTTGTTCTGCCCACAGACCTGCCTAACCCCATCATGTAAGCCTTTGCTGAGTGGGAGGCGTATGGAGACCACTTCTGCTTCTGTGCTCCTTGTACTTTCAGAAAGATGCCCATTAAATTCAGAGTTCAGAAACCATGAAGGCAAACAAAATGACTGAGAAAAATGAAACAAAACAATCTTATCATTTTCATTCAATAAACTGAAGCTTATCCTGGTAAGACAGAGGTACTATGGGGTGGGGTGGTCCTCTAATCTGTACACCCTGTTCTGAATGGTATCACTATCCCCCTATGGGACAGGATCCACAGTCTGGGCTTGCTCCTGGACCCTAGTCTGTCCCTGGAGTATCAGGTGGAATTGGTGTCTGGGAGTGTCTTTTTCCAGCTATGGTGGATTTTCCAGCTCCACCCCTTCCTAGACAGAGGGAACCTGAAGATAATTACCCATGCTCTGGTAACTTCCAAAATAGATTATTGTAATGCACTCTGCATTTCCTGTCCTTGATGTTCCCGCAATTGCAGCAGGTACAATATTAGGCTGCTCAGTTGGTGCTGTGTAAGAGTGGCCCATATAACAGCAGTTCCAAAAGAACTTCACTGGTTACCAGTTGTGCCCCAGACCCAATTCAAGGTGCTGACATTGACATATAAAGCCCTAAAATGGCTTGGGGCCTGGCCACCTGAAGGACCGGCTACACCTGTATAGGTGTATACCTACACCCCCAAGATCAGTGCAGGAGGGCTTTCTGAGAGACCCACCACTCAGGGAGGTGAGAAGGGTGGCAAATAGGTGAAAGGCCTTTTTTACTGCTGCTCCCTCACTCTGGAACTTCCTCTGTAGAAGAATTCACATGGCACCCCAAAGAAAAGACATACCTTAAAAAAAATTAATACTTTGCCTTATGAATGCTGGGGGCCTTTTCATATTATTGTTGTACTGAAGTTCTAATCTTTTAATTTTTTAAAATAGGTTTTAGCATGTTGTTATTTATACTTACGTTGAATATATTGTTTTACTATGTTTTCTATGTCGTTGAAACCTGCCTAGGAAGGCCTTTTGGTAGTTATAGGCGGCATGTAAATATGAGTAAATAGATAGATAGATAGATAGATAGATAGATAAAATGTGAACTGCATGTATATCAATGGCAGTAAAGTAATGTGAAAAGTTAGTTATATAGGTATGCATGAAAATGAAGACAGAGAAAGTCTCTTCTTAGGTAGGGAGGGCAGACAGCAGTTTAGTTCTGGTTCTCATTCTTCTCATGGCAAAATCAGATAAACGCATTCCAAGGGGTTAGGAGGATTGCCCCCACCCCCACACACTAATAAAATGGATAAAAATGCTTCAAATGAGCACAAGTGGATAACTACCCTGAAAATTAGGCTCCTGGATAGGGATAATGCACATATACACAGAAACACACACAGAGAGAGTAAGAAAAGTTTTGTGTTTGCATGATCTCGCACAGTGAACAGTGGAGGGAAGTGACAACTTTGTGAACTGACTTAGTAATGCATGCACAGCATTGTTGATTTTGAACAGGTAACAAGGTAAGAGCAAGCCTCACACACAGCTACTCTGTCCTCTGTTCCAACCATAAGGCAGCATCTAATATCATGCTAAAGGCAATGAGGCAACGAGGAGACCTTCAGAGAGGAATGACATCATCCCAGGCCAAATGATCACATGGTTTCTTTTATGGGATCACTGCAAAATCTGTATCAGTTATATGAAGTAGCCAATCAACATTCCACACATAGCACCCACCTACAAACTGATCCTAAAAAAGATCTTGGACTCTGAGGAAATGGATAGACTTTGTCATTGGAGCAGAAAGAAGATACTGACTTTTATCAAACTTGGGACTCATTTTATTACTGGCTAGAGAAATGGGGCATCGTATAGATTATGTTTCTATGTTATCATAAATGGAAAACAAAATGTGGGAGCTGACCCAGCAGGCTCAATGTTTCTGATGATTGATGTTTTTAGTTATTCTTTGTTTTTAGGACTAAAATTTTGAATAAAAATTATTATATTAAAAAAAACCAACCATTCCACACAGAGAAGCATAATTGTTGCTGTACTGAATGATTCCGGGGATCATTCCTCCTTTTGTGGGACATTCCGTGCCCTGTTCATCTTTCCCATCCCAGCCAAGAGAATTGATCATTTCAGATGTGACTTTACAAACACTTGTCTCTTCAACACTTCCAGGGGAAATTTTCAAATTGTTTAGGTTAAGTAACAAGAGAAGATATGTAATTATGAAGACAGTCATTTCCAGAGTTGTATTTTGGTTTCAGTTACAAGGACTGAAACTAATTCTGCTTTTTCTCAAAACCCCTGTGGAATTTTGGTGGTATGTAGCAAAACATATGGAGGATGTTTACACAGATGTCCAGCAGGAGGTAGAACATCATCATCATCATCATCATCATCATCATCATCATCATCATCATTATTACATTTCTATGCCGCCCCTTGCCGAAGCCTCAGGGCGGCTTACAACACGATAAAATACATTGAAATACAATAGAACATAATAAAGTACCACTAAATACAAAAATACAAAAAATATACAGATACAAACATAATAATATGAAATTAAAATTAACAGTATAAAATAAGTAAATAAAGAATATAGGAGGCGAAAAGAGAAGGAAGAAGAAGTTGCCCTGGCCAGATCATATATTTTAACAAGTAAAATGATGTTTAAATAAAAAGGTCTTTATCTGGCGCCGAAAAACCAGTAACAACGGTGCCAGACGGACCTCTTTGGGGAGTGAATTCTATAGGTTGGGTGCCACCACAGAGAAAGCCCTCCTCCGAGTACTTACTCTCCTAATTTCTTTCATGGAGGGTTCCCGGAGAAGGGACTCTCCTGCAGATCTCAAGGGGCGGTCGGGCATATACGGACGTAAGCGCTCGTTCAGGTAGCCAGGACCCAAGCCGTTTAGGACTTTATAGGTCATAACCAACACCTTGAATTGGGCCCAGGCTTCAATGGGAAGCCAGTGAAGCTGATGGAGGATTGGAGTCATGTGAACATAACGTCCCGTCCCCGTCAGCAACCTGGCAGCTCTATTTTGCACCAATTGAAGTGTTCGGACCGTCTTCAGGGGAAGCCCCACGTAAAACATGTTACAGAAGTCTAGGCGGGAAGTCACCAGCGCGTGTGTCACCGTCGCCAGGCAGTCGTACTCCAGGTAGAGGCGCAGCTGATTAATCAGCTGAAGCTGAAGGAAGGCGCTCCAAGCCACCGCTGTCACCTGATCTTTCAAAGAAAGCTCCAGGTCGAGGAGTACTCCTAAGCTGCGGACCTTGTCCCTAAGAGGGAGTGTTTCACCATTCAAGACCAGGTCAAATCCACCCTCTCCGAAGCCCAATCCGCCAACC